ACATTTACCAATTCAACTTATTTCATAGCTCTTGCATGTAATTTTCTTTCGTAGCAATCCCTGTGTGGGCCCAGCGTGTTGTCCTATAGGGCATACACAAGAACATATTAATGAAGTTAGGTAGTGGGTTCTAAATGCCATCCTAAGGCATTTGTTTTACACAATGGATACTATACAATTTGGTGGTTTAACCTTTTTGTTTCGTATGGTTTCTTTTTTGGGATTTACGTAACTTGTCATTAACTAGAGCCCAGCCCTTTAGGTATTAGCATTTCCTCGTATTTGGGTGCAGGGAATTGGAAGAATTAACCTAAATGTCTCTTGTTGCATAATTTATAATCTAGATTAACATCGTGTCCTGAACCCATTGTGTCCGACATTACTTTTCCTCGGTGAGAGAAATTTGTTCTGCTTACCCTTTTGATATTACTTGTGATGAAAGGTTTATCAAATTAACACCAAACTCCTGAGCGTAATTGGTGTAACGTGTGTTACAAGTCTTGTTAATTACCTTCAAATAAATCATGTAACTAGAACAGTGATACAGTAATGTACCTATGACCTGCTTGTTGCTATAAAGTGACGAGGGGAATGGGGACTGCAGAATTTTTATGGGCAGGCTGTTTGTCGGAACTCGTATTGATGATTCTTCAAGTTACAGAAAGTTAATGAAAGGTCTGTTATACAACCTAAAACTAATTGTTTCTAAACTCACTGTACTGTCAACATATGGGGCGTTTTTCAGAAAAATAATTTCAGATGTACTTTGAAAACAATTCTAGATGAACGCACTACTTTTGTTCACGTTTAAGCATGGTCTTCATCTCGTGTTTGCCACCTGTATCCCAAAACATTGTAAATATTTCTTAGCCCTTTAGTGATAAATTATCCAAACTCATAGATTGCTGTTAACATCGCAGTTATTGGAAGTAAAGCTTCTGCGTTTGGGAACGACATAGAGGTAAAAATGTAACTGAATTATGCCATGTTACGCCGTGTAGTCTGGTAGAAGTTTGCCGACGATTGCCGCTGTCATCGTAGGGCGATCCCAGAAGAGTTATCGTCATACTCGTCGCTGTAAGAACTGTAAAAATCTCGCCCACCAGAAGTTTCATAATGAAAATGGGTGGGGCATCATCTCATCCTCTGTTATATAGAAAAATGGAATTCATTATACAAAGAAGACAGTTTCAGTCTGTGTATCATATACAGTTGAGAAAGCGTCACTAAATAAATGAAATAGTATAAGCGTGATTATTTAACGCCGCCGTAAGTGAGAAATGATTCTATGGGTCCCTTTTATTTTAATTCCCAAGTGTTAGGTTCGAATTTCACCAAGATGAAGTGATTTTTCTCCGTAGCTCCAATGTGATCCCGGAGGACCGTTCCGAAAATATGTCAAGAGTTAATCTTGTTGCTACATTCTCCGATTCACAAAGATCGTTAGTAGACGCTAATAAACTTTGTAGTTGAATTAGCGTTTTTAAATTAAATACGAATGGTACCGATTTATTATATATGATCCTGACACAAATGTTGTCTTCAAAGTGTGGGGTGTAGGCGTAAGATCTGTGATGTGCTGTAATACACTTTCATACAAAATTCTGTGTTATGTTTGTGCTCTGGCTTAGTCCTGTATTTTGCCAAAGAATCTTTCATCCTTATTTCCTGTTTGTTTTGTCTCGATTTAATGGCCAGCTACGTTTATTTGTTGTGAAAGAATGGGTTAAGAAACGTATAATTCTAAGTCTGGCGATAGAAAAAAGTTGTTTCAAGGTGCTCAGTGTGTACTTAAGCAATATACGATTTCTGTGGACATTTGGACTAACCTTTACGCAAATGCACAGGCCGCCAGCACTGAGATTGCGTATACTTTTTATTTAAATATAGTTTTAATGAGTGCAGTCGGTAATGTGATTAGCTGCGGGCAGGGCGACAGACTTTCGATTCCCTGCAGGGATGGAATTTTTATCTTCTCGTGCCTGTCCAGACTGACGTTTGGGTCAACTCATTCTCGTGTCCGGTGGGCACCCGAGGCTCTTTCCTTGTGGGAAAGCTGCTGGAGCGTAAATTTGCTGTCGATTGCAAGAATGCGTGGAACGATATCTCCGCGTCCGTATACACCTTCATGGCGTGATAGTTGGACTTATCTTTAAAAAAAAATATGCTGAAACGATAATGTAATGAAGTCATTCGTATTTTAAGTTAAAGTTTATTAAAGAATTAATCGACTGGTCGGAAAGACGAATTGTGTTTTCCTGATTTAAATGCTGTCTGGAGTCTCCTCATTCCCCCCACCACAGACATTCCATTAAATTATGGTTCAGGTTTAGCAAATTTACAGACCTTGATGTAACTGTCCGCGT